GATCTCGGAAATCCTTCTTCGGAAACCCTTTAAGGATTTCCTATAGTAACAAACTCGAAAATCCTCTAAAGATTTTCGAGGATATCTGTTTTTTTAGAGTGTAGGATGACTGCTCTATACACACACACACCCATACTCTTATAACAAACAATGTTTGCCTATACCAACACGTTATATTAATTGAATTATGCAAATGTAACATAAAACTGTGCCATTATCAATACATGTATTATTTTTACAATCCAAAGAAAAAAAATTGTAGAAATTTTTATTATTTTTATTTTCATAGAGGGGATCAATCTTTCATTCTCCTTCTCAATACATCACTACTTCCTAACATGCGTTTTAGATTAAAAAAAACACTCGTACATTCTACAATCAAACCTAAACAACGATAATCTAATTGATTGTTTTCTATCAACATGGCTACGGGTATGGTAGTAACACATAACTTTCATGCAACAGATGACGATAAGGATTTCGAAATTTTTTGTCTAATCTGGCTTGATGCCAATACCAATGCTGAAGATAATCGAAACACTGAGCAAGATTTACGTTCCATTATCAATCGTCTCAAGAAATTTCAAGATGCCAAGGAATGTCAAAAGTATATTGAAGAACGATCACAACATGAGCGAGTCGTCATGATTGTGAGTGGTACATTGGGACGAGAAATAGTCCCTCGTATTCATAAACATCGACAAGTTATATCAATCTATGTTTATTGTTTCGATAAGACAAGTAACAAAGAATGGGCTGACAAATATGGAAAAGTAAAATTACACACCATAGTTTAATTTTATCTATGATTTATTTTTCAAATAGGTAAAAGCTGTTGTCACAGTACTGGATGAACTCATTTCTCGAATTCAAGCAGATCATAAAATTCAGAAATTAGTAGAAGAACCGTTGTCCATTAATGTTTTTAATAACAGTAATGATGCAGGGAAATCAACTGGTAGTGTTAACGGTAAATTTGTTTATTATCAGGTTCTTATCGACTGTCTTCTGCGATTAAAATCTACGTCAGAAGATATTAATGAGCTTATTAAGTATTGCAAAGATATATATGAAGGCAATCGTTTTGAATTGAGCAACATTCGTGAATTTAAAAATGATTATTCGCCTGGCAAAGCCTTATGGTGGTACTCACGACAAATGTTTTTTTACAAGACTCTTAACGCAGTACTACGCACTGAAAATATACATATGATATTTTTATTTCGTAAATTTATCGATGATATTCAACGTTTATTAATGAAGCATCAAGTTGATTGTCGTGTTCGGGTTTATCGAGGACAAGTGATGTCAAAAAATGAACTAGAAGGTTTAAAAAAATGTTGTAATCAATTTATTTCAGTGAATTCATTTTTTTCTACCAGTACTAGTTATCGACAAGCTCTTTCATTTCTTAATATTCCTAAGGACGCAGTCGATCTTGAACCAATCATATTTGAAATCATTGCTGATCCTAAAATGGCCGGTACCAAACCATTTGCTGACATCAGTCGACATAGTGAATTTCCTGGTGAATCGGAAATACTTTTCATGTTAGGCTCTATTTTTCGTTTTAATAGTATCAAACGCAATGATAATGATCAAGTATGGATTGTTAAAATGACTTTATGTAATGAGAACGATAGTGATTTAAAAAACGTCCTATTACATATGAAAGAACAACTTGAAAGTGAAGAAATTAATCTTTACACATTAGGAAGACTAGTATGGAACATGGGAAGATTCGATTTAGCTGAAAAGTATTTACATGCATTTTTGAAACAAATTTCAACAAATGATCCATTGCTTGGTAATCTGTATGAAGATCTCGCGAAAGTAACATCGCAAGTTGGTGACTATGACAAAAGTGTTCAATGGCGACAAAAATCTCTTGAATTCAAAAAATCAAACCAAACACTTGTTAGTTCAAGCACTAATATCAAAAAGAGTATTGCGAGTAAGTTTCGAAAAAAGAAAGGCAACTATTGTAGAATGAATACATCACATAAAACAATATATATCGTTAGAGGAAAAAACTTTGAGTGCGTAGAAAAACAAAACTTCATTTAAAATTCGAGTTGATTTCATTAGTAAAAACTATCAGTTTTGCTGCATAAAAAATTACTTTAGATATTCGACATGATTGAGGATAGCGATCAAATAGATGTCGAAATCCATTATCATCTTGTCTAATTCTAAACTTCCTTTTCTTTGACGATCATCTTTGAAAAGTTGTTTTTTAAAGATAGCATCGGTATACTTTCGTCGTTGATAAGTCTCCAAATCACTTAAAGTAGTTTTGAGAGAATTAAAAATATTACTTTGTACGAGCAAGGTATTTACAAATATACAAATATATTGATAATTGTTAAGAATAGTCTATAGATTCTACTTCTAATAAATGACATTCAATCATATTACTCATCAGTTCCTTCTTATAGATGTTCTCGTGATAATGTATCAACTACGCTTATCCGAAACGTTTTCTCTCCTTATCGTATTGTTCTCTATTGACAATTCGAAAAACTATTCTCTTTCATATTGCCTGATTTAAACAACAAAAAACTGGAAGAAATAAGTATCTGAGCAAGACAAGAACCTGGACACGATGAATCGATCGGCTTTATTTTTGTTGGTGTTATTGTTAGATA